TGAAGTCGTAGAACTTTATATACCTATAGTAATGAGACGAAAATTAGGCTATCAATTCACTGATATAAATACGCAAGTAATATTCGTATAAATTAAACTCAAAAGATAATTTTGTTATTCTCAAGTGAAATTCACGTGTTGTGTGACATCGAACGTTGTTGACACAGCAACACAAAGCAGCTGGTCGAACGAATTCGACGCAACCAATCGGCTTCTCCTGGCTGTTGATTGGTCGGTAAGTACGATGTTTTGTTCGCTTGACGTCGATACTCTACCCCATTTTCACACCACACATCTGTTTGTTTTTCAAACGTAGTTCACGAAAGTGACTTTCGAATGGAAAAGTGGTGAAACTCTAAAATTAGCGCTTACAATTCAGTGTTAGCATTCTCAGCGATTCCACCTCACATCATTTGCGATCGGTCCTAGTACGCACCCACCAAACTGTTTGAGGTTTCATTACATTATTGTATTCAAATCAACGAAACACACGAATTCACATGCTGAAAAAAGAGCAAAGCACTCCATTCACTAAAAAATATGAATTGGTTCTGTTGAAACGTCCCAAGAGTAATATCACAGATCTTGTTGGGCATCTCTTCATATTCCACTCGGCCGCACAAAGCTACTTGGTTGAAACGGGATTTCCCAGCAATACTGACAGGTCTTCATCCGTCCTGAAAACAACGTAAATAGTTCACAAGACAAGGTAGACAACAATGAATTCCTAATTCTTTCAAAGCAAGAATATGCTCTGAAACAGCCTTCCCTAGACTTTCTCATGTTGTGACCGACTTTTTTGTCAAGGTTTTCGGGCTTTTCGCTTGACTTGAAAGAAGCATACTTCATCATCCGGTCCATTTACCAATTTTTGAATTCAGCTGTTGATGGAATTTACCACTTTTAAGTTCCAGTTTAATTCATGGCCCAAGCAGATATTCGCTTGTCCTCGTAACACCAGTGCTCATAATGTTATGTAGAGCCTGGCTAGTTTACAATCAGATACTGTATCTTGTCAGTGGATCGTATGGTGTTGTTTTTTGGTGGCCTCCGTTGTAGCCTGGAGAGATAAAGTACCAACGCTCACCTCCAGCGATGTTTGAAGGTCACATCAGAATGAGTAATTTTGTTGATTTAGTGCAGCTATTCAGACCGGACGATCACACAGGGTGCCTATTATCCGTACAATGCTGTCTGCTGCAAAACTTTTACAACTGGATCAAGACTTTCTAAGCCGAAATTTTGCATTTTATTGCGCATGTGCTCAAACCAAAAACCATCGTAATGTATGCTCATATTTATGCGGCACACCAAATTTCATTGTTCACTGAAGCAACCATGCCTCTGGCTGAAAAGTCCTGTGGGATAATTTTCCAGGATTGCTGAAATCCCGGGATGCCTAAATGGGGCTTAAAAGTTTGGACTGGTACTCTCAACTCAATAGCCAGATTGCTCTAGTCCATCAGGGACACGTCATAACTTTCGAAAATTCAGTTTCATTGTGCGAATACTGGGCGCCATCACGCAGCCTTTGCTGAGTCCAGTTAGTGAAATCGGCAACGTCAAAGTGACCTTGACTGGAACCCGTCCAAGAAAATACGTATCGGACGTCAGCTAATGAAATTTAAATAGATTACTCAACAATGGTGAACAAGTAAAACTGCCAGGCTAATGGGACTTCAAGAGAACACTCCAGTAAAGGTTTAGCCTCAGAAGAATGTAGTGGTCATGTAGTGTGGTCATGGTTAACTGGACAAAAGTTATAATAACTTTTCTTTTTGAGAGAATGCAATATTAAAACCGGAAGGGAAACAAATGCATACTAGCATGATGACTAAAGGCTACAAACGTAGCCTGGGAAGCTTCGGTTTTGGTTTGATTCGAGAACATGAGTGCAAGATTTATCTACTGGTGTCACACTATTACGATTGAATACCGCCGAAACTCCCAATTTTCTTATCGTTAGCCGTGAAGAAAATTTACTACTGCGCAAATGTGAAAAGCAGTTTCATTCTTTGGACGTTGCTTTCATACCTGTAGCTGGATTTTCGCTGATGACCCCCTAGTGTGGCTGCCAGCAGGTAATTGGTTGAATGTCTTTTGTTTGACGGCAAACGTCATACAAATACAAAATATAAACTAGGAAAGAAAACTACAAAGATACGGCTGAACGGAGCAACATATGTCAAGTGTCCAAGGATCGTTCCATTATTCCAATTATATAGTATTTACTTGATTAGGAAAACCCTAAGATTAACCTTAGGAATTAAAGCTCTCTGCGAAGAGTGTTCGCAAACCTCAGAACCACTGGGTTGAATGAATGCAGTGTTTCAGTCCTGCGGGTTAGAGCGCGAGTTTTCCTACCCAATTCAGAGTACTCTAATAATTTTACATCAACAAGTGTTACCTTTTGTTTAGAGATTTGAGTAGAAATGATTATTTCAGGGTCCCAATGGTTTCGTTTGTCCATGATATCCTAACTTGCCGTCGCCTGATGGCGACAACCTGTATGTTACACGCAGCAGGACGAATGAGTGACACTCCTCTGATGCAAACACCCTGAAGTTGTCTTCATTGATACTCTTGAGTTCCTTTTGCATTTCGTCTGAAGAATACTATATTGTATGGGGACTGAGCACTGGGAACCACTGCTGCCATAATGATAAGATTGAGAACGATGTGCCAACGTACTTCACACTTCGACAAATTTGGGGATTCGCCACTGATCTTTCATTTCTAGAAGATTCTATGCAACGACATCAAATCCCATACCATGCACATTTTCGTTCATCTGTCTCATTGGAAATGTCTTCGGTGAGATCGGGTATTTTCTACGTTCACCACCATAATAAAAATGCTTGACGCATACCTTGGATTAGCATGTCATATGTCCTTTTCAAGCCAAATCAATTCACTTGAAGAGGTACGCATGCATTTTCTGCTTATTCCCGTGAAGATGGATTTATAAGACGAGCAGATTCTGCAACACACGCATCAAACCACAGCAAATATGCACTGTTTCATCAGCTGCTTCAGGTACAAACCGAAGCCGCTTCGTAGCTGACATGTACGATCCACATCACTTCTTCAGACAACTAACTCAGTCTGGCGTTAAGTCAAAGGCACAGATATGAGCTTAGGATTTTGATGTCTGGCTCAAGGTGAGGAGAAAGTTCTGAGTAATGTAAAACACAAGAACACCTTCCACCAAGGAGCAAGTTATTGCAGCGACATCTGCTGATCGGCCTGCGACCTTCCCAAAAGATTCCGCGACCCCATTGTTAGTAGTGATCTATGGGACGCGAACTACTGATATGAAGAGTAAGGTGGTTGTAGTAGTGAAAGCTTGCGTCAGACTTTTTGCGATTCAGCAGGACAGTTGCCGTCAGGTATAGTGCGCCATTTAAATAATTAAGCGGGGAGCAAATTATCGTATTTTCGTAGAAAATTATAACAGCTCATGATGAAGATATGATTATCCACTTTGGATTTAGAGTGAATATTGTGGAACTACCTGATCGAAGGTGATGAGCGGGAATCGGCTTGCTGTTATTTGCATACCCTTGAGTCGACTAGACCATCGGGTTTTGAATGAACTATTTCTACTTGACCGGTATTGCGGACTGCGTAGATGTTAAGGACATGCAGTAGTGTTCTGCCGAAGAGTCGGTTTCCCATACTTTAGAGGTGTTCCAATAGTTGACATCCGTCTGTTCAAAGACCGGGAATCGCCAGTAAGTGGCGAACACACCACGAATCCCTGGAAAGTTTTTCCTTGTAGCCAGGCTGATAAGAAATCCCACTTTCTATTTGGGAACTGATGAATGAGGCTTGGACAATAATGTCTAGCCCAAGATGGATATTATTTGATGAGGTGCGCTGCTATCAAAGCTGACCGCTTCGCGAAGGTCAAAGTTGCCACTGCAACTGTTCGTCCAGCTCGCCACAGCATTAGAGGCTGGAGCACTTGAGGCTTGTTCGTTTGTTGATGTGTTGTACCCTGTGTACTCAGGACAAGTACATCTGGTGGGCTACTTAATCGTCCCCAGCCTAAAGACAACCTGAACGGAAAATCGGTTACTACGCCCTTTGGTGGACGACGCAAACATTTCATGCGACGTGTCCGATTTGTAGTGGTCGAAATGTCATGCCTTAGTAATTTAATGCCGTGTGGACAGCCCCCCTGGAGCATTGCAAGGGTTACTACCCTGTATCCATCCTACGTGCAACCGGAAGTCAGCAGTAGTTTCAGGTCGACCTGGTTGTGTACAGTGGTGAGCGCGTCCGCCGCATCTCAAAATCATTTGTTGCTCGATCGAAACGGGCAATAACAGAACCTGGTAGAAATAGAGCAAAACCCTTCTACAGTTGTCAAATCCACTCCCTCCTTTCAAGCTTCTGTTCTGGCTCCTGTGCACTGATGTGTCAGCTTCTTCTCAGCAATAGTGAGGACAAATTTACTCTTACTTCATTATTTCCTTGTTGAAGATTGGACGTTCATATGTGAGCACCGGACTTCAACTCTTCCAACAGTGCTCACGAGTGTGAAGCAAATATTTTAGCAGTCTCATCAGCGCACTAATGGGCACTACTTGCTTTGTGCTCATCATCTACGGAAGGAGTTTGCTTCAATAGTTGTACAGTGCCTTAAACAGTTTACTGAAGAAACCGGAGTGAACAACAGCGGCTTTTGTGGTCGTGTTTGTGTTCCGCACATAAACTCTACTTATCATATATGTGAGTAACCGTATGGTTCTACGGGATCATTCCACTCATATCAGTATTAGTTGGCCAGGCTGAAAATGTCGGTTTTCCTAAAGCCGGCAGTACCTGAATGCATCACTAAGGGATCTGGTATCTCGTGCAAGTAGAGGTGACAATGGATCAAACCAAACAGTGTGCAAGCTGAAGTTGGAGTACATGCCAGAGCTTTTGTAGTAAAGTTATGTAAAAACGCGCCAAATTTTAAGCAAATTTCTCTTCACTTCCGTTTCATGCAGACCAGTCGCAATACTTCTTTAAGGATATGGTGAATGATCCGAGCGATGCAGGTACACATTTTCAGTGTGAACAACATTGGTTCGTTCGGTTCACGAGAGAAATCGATCCTGGGAAAGTGGTGATTTCAGTAGTCTGAATTATCGACCGAACTCCCGGTTTCAAAATAACATATTTTCACCGGAAGGAACATGATCAGTACAAAGCCCACCTTCAGCGTCCGCCGAGAGGACGCTTCAGAGAAGTAGCCTAGGGTGTTCCCAATAAGTCAATATGTGCTCTTTTATAAAATTCATGCTTCTTCCGGAGTTGTGGCTAAGGAAGATGGGACTTAGCTGCCACTGCATTGTTTCCTCTATTTACCGTCCCACAGGTAACAACTCTCTACCACTAATACTACTAATACAACTCTCAGGCTGCTTGTTTCTCAATCTGCACCGCTGACGTGAGATGGTTGAGTGCGGTTCTCGTAGAAATATTTTCTGTAGGCCTACAGTATTCACACAAAATATCATACAACCGCAAGTGAAGTGAGTAAATAATAAAAGAATCTTGTTTTTTGTCCCATAGATCAGATAAGTGCTAGCTGCGCTCAATTCAAAAAAGTAGGTTGGCAACAGAAAATGTTGGAGGAACAAAGGTTCTGCCAACACCCACACAACATAGCCTTGTCAAACGTGTCTATTGTCTCTCTGAAAACTCTGTACAAGCTGAGACGGCGCAGTGAAGTTACACTTACTTTTGCTCCAATTGTCTTTCGTGTCTTAGCAATGGGATTTTGATTGCCGGCTTCAGTTTCGACGGAAAACGTGCCTAGTTCCGGGAAGGGATATGGAGAAGTCAGTTTGGCAGTGTTAACTCGCTAGTGAGCTAGCAGGCCTAAGAACTACCAGATAAAGTAGTATCTAGTGAAGGTTACCATTCGTGAGCTGAAATTGTTCGCTACGATCCCAGTTCGGTCTCTTCAAATGTTATGGTAAGGTTTGACACCACTGGTTTGATTGATCCGTCATGTGTCCTACTAGGCAAAGGCAATGATAGGGGTTACGACCGAGAGAATCCACGGAATCAATTATTCCAGATGCCGTATGAGTAAGCGACGTTATCGTCTTTCAGACCCTCAGTGCACTAGCGTGGGCGAATGAGGTCGGCTTTGGCAGAATTGCACAGGTATGCAGTGTGCCGTAATTACCGGAAGCATAACGGGCGAAATCTGGGACAGGCGAGAATGGCCTACAGTTGAAACTGATTATGTCCTCACCAAGAGATGCTTGTTTCAGGACGATGTCTGTGCATTCCACAGGTGCGTACCCAACATTCATAAGTGAAAAAAATTTTACGAAAACAACTTACGACCAACAAAGCTACTGAGTACTAAAAATGAGTACTAAATGACTTATTAACCTGTACACCATGAGTAAGTGGTCTGAAAGACAACTTTTACACAAAAAAGAACCTATAACTTCATGAATCATATTATTTCTCCGTTTAAAGTGAATTTTCCCATAACGAGGCCTGATTTGCGTAGTTTTTTATTTCTCATAGGAACCTAGCCAAAACCAAAACTTATCAAGACATTATCAACATTATACGAGCTAAAAATAGTTGAAAAGCAAGTACCATGTTTTCTCAGTTTCGCCATTGCTTTCATTACAAAGCCTCAGCAAAATAGTCAGGCGATATGCTGGTCAGTCACAAGCCTGGTATTGCCAAATTTAAGTAATCATGAAGTTTGAGATAGCTTAGTGACACGAGCTTACTGACCCGAAGTTCCATGGTCCGAAACCAACATCTGCATCTTGATTACTCCTCTTTAGGCTTGGGTAACCTGGCGCGATGCAGCCCTCATGCTTCTTTTGGGTGACGTGGAAGGTAGGCACCAAAATGGTGTTACAGTGGCGGTAACAGATTATTATTATATTACTCATTATTAATTTATGAACAAGTTTAGCGTGCACTAGATTCGGGGTCAGAAATATAAACTCAGCGCTACTGAGCCGTTGTTGTTTCTCTGCCCGTGTATTGTCGACTGGTTTTCTGTATGTCAACCGTAGATCAACAAAGTAGTCCTCAATTGGTGTTTGTGTTCGCATACACTGCCATGCTCGGGACCCGTATCTCCTAGCTTTAGAACCCAGTACCACCACAACATCTATCTGGATAGTATCTTTCGTCGCAACACCGGCCAATTCATCTCACCTTTTACTGGCTACTTTTGCCCATATCCCATGTTTTATTGGATGAAATGCTTCGTTCGGTTAGTTTTGATTAGGGACTGATTGTAGCTAACGCCCGTGATGACACCATGACGGGGGGCTACACTCATCATTATCCACTTTGACTATCCTACGGTGTTTTGCAGAATTGTACACAAAAGATGAATTCACCGTCTACCATAATGAACGACGTACTTAGCTAAGTGACAATATCGTTGGATGATGTGTAAATCAACGCCATGTCGAACTCACTTTGCAAACTCGGTGGTGCTTTACATCGGTTGTCAGATGTTTGTTCTTTAGACCCGGCCTCTTTGTTCTCACGTTCCTGGTTTTCGAGGCGTCTCTGAAAAGATTCACAGCTGTTTATCCTTGTTGAACCTACTGGATACACCTACTTGATCAGTCCGAACAGTCAAACAATCAACAGGCAAGCAACATGCACGTACAAGGGAACCATGAGTTTCCATGCGAGACAGGGTGAATGAATAAGACCATTTTTGTCAGAGTGGCAGTCAACATTATAGCTCACGTGATCTTTTCAAAGTAGTAGTGACGATGATGACGCCGGAATTTGTACCGGATGAAAGTCATAGTTACATACAATCTGGTGACTTACTTGTAAGGTTTCCAGTTGGTTTGCTTGTATTTTGAGCGTTGCCTCTAAATCTGATTGATATTCAAGCAAACAGCGACGTTCCATCAAAGTTTGCCTCAGTTGGTCCTGGAGTAGACAAATGAGTGTTGGTCCTAACCAGAAAATCCACCGTCCCTCAAAAGTAAGTTTTTGGACAAGTCTTTCTGGCACATTCTACGAAAACTAAATGCTGACCGAAGCATTAAAAAAGTGGGCAACTGGGTTTGTCATCCATCCAAGACCAAAGGGATTACTTAGGAAATAAGCAGTTTTGCACCAGCATGGTTTTAGTAGTTGTCAAAACTAGCTATAGCGAGAAGCAACAAGCTGCATGCAAGAGACACCTGCAGCTGACATCCAACAGACCTACCGCAGTGTGATGAGTTTTGTCTCGATGTGATTATTATTCAGCACCCTGCGGAAGTGCTAAATATGTGCGAAACGTCGAGACTGGAAGTAACCGAATTGGTTTCGAACTGGTGGTCAGCTGGCGCCTTTAAGCTTGGACTCAGTTATTTCCCTTCCTTCGCCAAAAAAACCGGACCAGGGTGGGGTGGACTCTTAAGAAAAATCTTTCATCGATTTGAACGAGTAGCTCTTTTTATGCGTGCAAATAGTTGCTGTTTGGAAGAGTAGTTGGATTCTTTACCTTTAACCCTGTAGTGACGCTTTACTCTCATCACAATAAGCAACAAACGTGGCTGCTTTATTTCCCAGAACTCTGTTTGGGATGCTTTGGCTTGGTATCAGCTCCTTACGTGCGAAGTTCGTCTCTCTTACAGAATGTCCAACACGGTTTCATCGGCAATATTGGCTTGGGCTTTATTTGTTGTCCGTGTTATTTGGCAGTGCTGTACCAGTAGGAGATTAAGCTCGCTCCCAGTAGCTGTGTGTACTGATCGACTTTGTATAAAACTGCGACATTGTATAAAACCGACCCAATTCATCAACAGAGTCACATTTTTCTACTTTACACTTAGCAGAAGGATGTTTCGGCAGATTACTCCTCTTTCTTTAAGCTGAACGTAGAGTGTACAGGTCTGATGGCAAAGCTTTCAGCGTGAGTTGCCCTGTGGCAGCCTGATTTTCAAAAACTTTTGTAGGGCGAATAATTCTCAAGTCTCATTCTTGGTGTGTCAGTTAACTGAGGGCACACATTACAGCCACTTAGAAGGAGTATTCCTTTACAAAACCCGAACAATTCTCTCCTTTAGTGTAGAACCCCAATTTTACGTGGCATGGAGCCACAATCACACGCATCTATAAAGTAAATATGATTACGAAAGCTTTCATGCTACACTCGAAGTCTGTACTTGGCTAGTGTTATGGTTGCGATCCCGTAACCATGGCGAACAGAGTGCGTGATGGTGAGTGTATTCCACAGCTTGGGATGAGATCACATCAACTAGACTCGCCGGTGGTGGATATCGAAAATTCACTTCAAAAACCCGTTGGAAATTCAACCAAACTTGGGATGGCTTACAATATGAGATGATCATTGTTGTGATTTGACCAACACGCAATTCACCAGGTGTGATTCCGTCCAGAGGTGATGGTAGTGACAAGAAACTTTTAATGAAATTCCACGTTTGTTGAAATAAAATAGTCCTCTGCAAGCAAACAAGAAGCACTGGATGCAGGGTAGTAGTAGTGACGATAAATCCTTTCAGAGGAGCACTTCCTCTGTAGAACAAACAGGCTGCTCCAGATCAATTGTTTTTGTTTGTCAGTAGAACGGAAGCTTTCGTACTCAAAGTGTGCACAGCTACGTGAAGTAAACGACTTTTTCCAGTCCAGATTGCTTCCACTCAAATCAGGGACAAATCTAGTGGAATTAGTGACTGTATTAGAAACCCCTGATGGCTAACCATTATCATTTAAAAACCTAGTGCTGAATACAAAGACTCCAACATTCCGCCAAACCAGACAACGTTCTTCGATCCAACCTATAATAGGCCGCAATTTTGAATAGAAGAAATCCAAAGAGAACTGAATAGATTGGGAAACGTACCGTCACAGACCGATCTCTTGGGTTTTATGTTTCGGCATCTCTAAGTCAGAAATTAAATCTATACTATTTAAAATTTGAGAAAACGCTTTAGAGTTTTATTTCTGTTTTTTGAAAACCTAATCATTCATAACATGTATCTTAGGAGATAAACGGTTCTAAAGAGTTGGAATGTTACGTTAAGTAACCTATCCCCTCTACCACATCAGGTGACGTATGGGTGGCGCTCTTCTGGCTCTCGTGATATGCACCTCAGGGTACGGGATCCCAAAGATGGATCCATAGCTCGTCAGCTGTGTCACGTGTCCAGAGTGTATTCTGGATCACCACTAGGTCTTCAGATGCTAGCCATTCATCCATCCCCTCTGTATGGTGCAAAATCCCGATATCGTTCATTTGATATCTCAGTGAGCCACATAAAACGAACTGGAAGGAAGTTTAAAGTGACTCAATCAAAATCTAATAATGATTGGACATCAAGTTAGGGTGCTTCAAATGCTTTCATGACATCTGAAAAGTTTCATTCCTTTCAGAACATCTTTACTTAACTTGAGGGTTGCTTTGGGAACATTAACTGGTCACGAAAAAGACATCTTGACATCTTAAAAAATCTTCAAACTCCTTGACATCGAAACGGATGGAATTAGAGCGTGGTAGATAAACGTCGTTGTTTACGATCATGAAGAAAACCGTAATGGAGAAAGTGGTAATAGAGACGAGTCAGTCAGTCAGTTTATCAGCTATAAACCGTGTAACCATGACATATTGGTTAGAGCTGCTACATTTTCTGTCGAAAAGGGGGAGCGTGGTAGGTAAAACCAAGCATCAGTGTTAATGGCAACAGCGAAGAAGAGTGGGATTAGAGATGTAGATAGGAGTTCGTGACGACGGGATGCTCGGAAAGAGATTTTTATTGTAGCGCTTGAACAGATTATTTGTTGAACATTTGGAGAGCGCTTGTGGCGATTCTACATCAAAATGCGAGTGGTTAAGCTTTGTCGGTTATGCTACTGGAGTGAACAAACTTCTCGACGAGCCATGCTTAATCGTGTAATTCGTTCGGAAATGTTTTCAGTTCGCTGCATAGTTCTTGGACGCAGATCATCTATGTCGCAACAACTTGCACTCGTTTGTCGCCATATTTGTGAATTGGGGTTTGGGTTCCCCTTCAGTAAAAACAAAGATACAACGAATGCAAAAACACACCTTCACTCACCGCAAGTAGTGCCGTCTCCATTGATGGATCTTTGGGGGAATTCACGTCACTGTCCCGATTCTTCGTTGCTACGCCTAGTTCGGTGAGATCAGACCGCTGGTTTAAGTTGTATTCCGATTGTCTGCACTGACTTTGCAGTTGATTAATCTGTTTCTCGAGGTTTTCGTTCTCAAGTTTGATTTTCAACAGCTCCGCCTGGAACATAAGATTGATCAAGTATTGACAGAACGTCGTGTATCCTTCGGAGAGTGTTCTTAGAACTAGGAGACCAAGTACATCGTATTCCCATCGAAAATTAGCATCGGTATACAGTTCGTATTGCAGCTTACCATTGTCAGGAGCAACGCAATCTGAAGTTCCGGGTGGGTGGCACAATCCAGAAGTAAATGTGACACCCAAGTGGAATAGACATCCAGCGAACGGGAACGTAATAATGGTGCCTGTCACGTGGCTGAAAATTCCGCCCATATTTAGACTACTTTGTAGATAAGTCAGAAGAAACAGCTGGCCTAGCACTTACTCTTCTCATCCCAGAATGATATCCCTTCCAGTGAATTGAGCACAGCTTTTTCCTAAAACAAAAAGACTTCGTTTTGATGGCAATCAAAGAAACGGTTTGCCGAATGGAGATACACTACTTGCGTACGTTGGTGGTGACACGTAGAAAAAAGACAGACGCAGTCATGATGCAGCTAAGTTGTTCTCAATGCTCACATCCAATGATATATGCATTAGCTCGGTCGCATCGCTAGTAGGTTGGAAATTTCGACTTTGGGGTCAAGTATTGCGTCTTCTTCCGGGCTTTGTCATGTTCTACATGAGTTGTCTCATTCATCTTCTTCACTGGAACTCAGCCGGCATTCGTGCACGCGGATAAACTTCTTTCGCTAGAACCCCGCTTTCCTTTCCACCACTCCTCTTCGACAGCCCACGACCGTTTTCGCCTTTCTCGAGTCTCATCAGATAGGCGCAGTCTCCGAGGTTTGGTCAACGCTATGTTCTACTTGAACCGAAATTGCACGAAATTAGCGAAACACACTCATTTGCAAACAAATTTGGTTTTGCGGGGACTTACCTGGAACCCAGCTGAACGTATCGCTTATGATGTTTTTAAGCAAAACAGTGAGCTGCACCAGACCGCCTCACGTTTCAGTTGGTACGATATTCGAGATACACGTAATACACTACTCATAAGGTTGCTGAAAATTCTTCGACAGCCCATGACCGGTTTTATCCTACTTCGAGATATCGTGAAACATGTATAGACAAATATCATGCCAAATAAACATAAGGCGGCCTGGTGCAGCACATTCAGTTGCCTGGAAACATCACAAACGAGAGATTCGGCTGGGTTCCAGGTGGGTCTCTCGCAAAACCAAAGTGTTTTGCAAATGAGTGTATTTCGCTAATCGCTTTCCTTTGGATTCTTTCGAGATACAGTCATGTCTGTCCAAAAGCCCAAACATGTAACGGCTTTTCCTCCGATAAGAACACTTGATCAACTGCTCTGTGCTTTGCTGATAACATCCCGTTTAATGTATGAAACCTTTCTAATGGAGAGTGTGTCCGGAGTTCTCTGGTTGATGCCTATTTGATTGCGTCTAAAGTGAGACATACAGGGTGTTTTTCTTGGATGTATGACGGATAAATTACAAAGCCTACAGGTAAATACAGGTGAAAACAGCAAAAAGGAAAAAGGGCCACCAGTAATAGGCAGTTAATCTAACCTGGGGGTGGTGCTAAACCAGAGAAACTAAGCTATAGCATAAGTATGAATTGGCTTAATTGTTGTTGTATAGTCGTGTCAGAGGCAGAGACACGAGGAGTTGTCACAAATCTTGTACTGTATTCTAAATCAAATCAGTAGGCCCGGCATTGTGCTTCGATCGCGTGTGTTCCTAAATGCTTTGTTCCAGTTGTGCACGCCACTCATAAAGATGTCACTCTCTGCGCAGACCACATAAACAGATTGAGTAAAAGCAATGCCTTCTAGGTTGGCCCCAGGCATCTTGAAATACTTCAAAGGTCCAATCAGAAACGGTCACTTTTTACTGAAGAGTAATGTATCCCGAAGGAGTTTGCAAAAACACTCAATGGTACACTACTCACAATGCGCACTGCTCCACCTGCACAATTCACATTAATACGGACAGTGTTTGATATAATACTCTCCTGTCCTTTACAAGTAAATATTATCCGAAATAGTGGGATGACAAGGAAATTACTTCGTGATATTCCACGAAGAAATGCATCCTCATGCAGCTCAAGTTCGTGAGAGATTCCTCGTCGAAATAGATCATTTTTTATTGTTACTCCAAGGGATCAACCAGAAATGTTCTCTTCATGAAGACCTAATGGAGTGTTTGATTTTGAACGATAGTATAATTAAGTTTATCAGGAAGGTCAGCTTCCTGAAAGCAACCACTGAATGCCCGAAATCTACCGAGACTCTCAGGTCCGCTAGATGTTAACCAGATAGACAACGCCCCCTCAATATGCAGCACGTCGCAACCAGACCGTGTGCGTCAGCATTGGACCAAGTTCAGACGGTGTCCTTCCAATAAAAAGCTTGAGGCCGTTGTACTTTTCGCACTCGCACGCACTCGCGCTCTTGCACCCACTTTGTTGGAATATAGCTATTGTGTTCCCTTCAGTGAGTCTGTTTCTCTCCGACACTAGGCGCTGGAGTGGGTCAGCAGCAAATACCACAGGCCGAGGAATCAGCAGATATAACAGATTGGCGACGCCCGAACCCACAGAATCATGAGAATAACTGCTGAGGCGTTGAAAGAAATTCTGTTGCAACAACAAAACCAGTTTGAAGCGGCGCAATTACGTTTGGTGGAAACATTGACGCAGCAACTGAAAATTCAACCACCAAATTCCGCTCCAGATACAAATTCAGTCGACTCGATCGCCAACAGCATCACTGAATTCCATTATGACCCTGATGCCGGCCTAACCTTCGATTCGTGGTTCAGACGTTACGAAGATGTTTTCCAAGTCGAACTGAAGCACAAAGATGATGCCTGGAGAGTACGCTTATTGCTCAGAAAGCTTGGCACAACGGAACACACACGGTATTCCAACTTTATCCTGCCTAAGAACAC